GGCTGGTGTCAGGATCTCAGTCAACAATGAATCGCGCGTCTACCCGCACGTCATATCTACCCTCCCTCTTCCCGTGCTTCGTACGATAGATATGGAGGACGCAGGGATGAACGTCGAGCAGAAGAATGCTCTGCGTCAGCTCCAGTACGGTCCTTCCGTCAAGATTGCTATACGTTTTAAAGAGCCGTGGTGGACTACCAAGCTAAACATTGTCGGCGGGCAATCATTCACAGATCTTCCCATTCGCACCATCGTCTACCCATCTCACGGGGTTGGCACTGATACCCCGTCCACTGTGCTCATTGCGAGCTACTGCTGGACCACTGATGCGGAGCGCCTCGGCTCTCTTGCTATGGCAGGGCAGAACGAAGTGCTGAAGGAGCTCGTACTTTGCAATCTTGCAAGTGCACACGGTGATCCAATCACATACGAATTTCTGTGCAACCAATTCCTCGACATGCATGTCAAGGACTGGACCTACGATGTGCAGACAATGGGTGAGATTGACCACAGCTCGGTTCGGTATCTTGTTAATTGCGAATTTAGGCGCATTCGCACAATTCGGCCCCGGTGACTTCCAAGATGTGTATACCTCCCTCACTTACCCCGCAGCGAACAAACGTCTGCACTTTGCGGGAGAAGCGATAAGCACTCGTCATGCGTGAGTATTGTCAGATAACTCAGCCGTAAGCTCCGACTATTGATCTTACGTATCTAGATGGGTTGTTGGTGCGCTTGACAGCGCCTGGAGAGCTGTATACGAATATCTTAGTGTCACAAAGCAAGACGATAAAATGGAGAGATTCAAGGAATTGTGGGGCAAAAATGTGGAGTGGACGAGTCCATCGGTACAACCCCAATATGACCAGTCCGGCCAGCCTCTCTTGTCTGACTTGCTTTACGAACACTTTGGGCTGATTGAAGCGGCTATCGGAGTTGGGGAAATCAAATATTAACAATGCGATGAAGAAGGTTGTTAAGAGATTGTTCTGTTGTAACCAAGCGCTGTAACGGCAAATAGGGCGTCTACACCATGTATAACACCAAGTACTGTTGATCGAAACCTTTCTCAGGTTGGTTGGAGTAATGGACAGGAACGGCTGTACTCTCAATATTCAGACCGGTAAGAGGTTTAATACCGAACGACCTTCGCCTTAGTTCGCACTTAATAACATTATGCTAGCTTACGACCGCCTAGCACTACTATGTGTTGGGCACGAATTGGCAACTGGTTGACAGTTGCAAGACACCTGGTTCACTAACAAAATTTTACAGCATACACGAATCCGACTCCATATCTACATGCGATCATCCCATCTCACAATGATGCCGCTACCTTCTTTTTAATGACCTCGACGACACCAGGCTCCGCAATAGTACTAAGATCACCAAGCTGATCTCCTTCGCCAGCGACAATCTTCCGCATGATACGACGCATGATCTATCACAATACGATAAGATAACGCGATGCAGCGTTAGTACCAGCCGAAACTGGAAAACAGTTGGAAGTTCGTCTTACCTTCCCGGAACGAGTTTTTGGAAGATCAGGAACGATGATCACTTTCTTCGGTGCAGCGAAAGGACCAATGACTTTGCGGACTTGGAGAACGAGTTCCTTTAAGAGCGACGCTTCGTCGTTGGGGTTATATGCGAACTCTCTGGTATGATTAGAACAACAGGATTGAGGTTTTATCACCTGAAACTGGTAAAGCTCATGACTGCTCACGGTTTCAAGGTGACGAAAGCAAACACGGCTTGCCCTGTCAGTTCGTCGGCGGTGCCGATCACTGTGCAAATTGTTAACAATACTGCAGCAGACCCAACACCCTGCGAGAAGACTTCTTACCCGCAGCCTCAGCGACACCCTTGTGCAAGATCAAGGCCGACTCAATTTCTGCAGTCGACAAACGATGTCCAGACACATTGATCACATCTGTATGGGCATATTTAGTTGTGTTCACGTCACCAAAGACGCGCATGACACACCATCAACACGACCCTTGATCCATATATAACCATGTTCGTCACGGGCGGCACCATCACCAGTGTAAAAGTAGCCAGGGTAGGGCTGAGATACCGATATGGGCAAAGTCGGGGAGCCAATCAGACAATAGACGCACCTTCATGTACGTTTCCAGATACCGATTATTATCATTGTATACTGTGCGAGCAATCGAGGGCCAGGGTCGTTTGATCACAAGGACACCTTCGACATTGTTTCCTTCCAGTTCCTGGCTCGCAGTTAGCGATTTGATATGAAGCGGTCGGAGGATGAAATGCCACGCACCTTTCCAGTAGTGGGGTCCAGAATAGCGGGCTCGATACCGAAGAAGGGGACAGTTGCTGATCCGGGTTTGGTCTCGATAGCACCTGGGAACGGTGTCACAACAATAGAACCAGTTTCGGTTTGCCTTAGAAATGATCAGCACCTATCACCAGGATGATGATGATGATCCAAAAGGAGTTCTTACCAGAACGTGTCTACAACTGCGCATTCCTTCTTTCCAACGTGTTCGTTATACCAATGCCAAGCCTCAGGGTTGATCGGTTCTCCGACACTGCCCAGCACGCGGAGAGAGCTAAGGTCGTGACCTTCAACATGATGAGCGCCAAGTCTGCGCAACAGGCGGATAGCGGTGGGTGCCGAGTAGAATTGGGTAATTTGGTGCTTTTGTACGGTTTGCTCGGCACCCACCGCTATCCGCCTGTTGCGCAGACTTGGCGCTCATCATGTTGAAGGTCACGACCTTAGCTCTCTCCGCGTGCTGGGCAGTGTCGGAGAACTGATCAACCCTGAGGCTTGGCATTGGTATAACGAACACGTTGGAAAGAAGGAATGCGCAGTTGTAGACAAGAGCAGAACTCCAACTGGCAGAGTGTTGGCAAGAATGAAGTCCACCAAGGTAAGGGCAGAGTGAAGCAAGGGTGTCAGGTTTAGCTCATGTGCTACCCCCTTGCATGATCTCAGCCCTCGTATTTCAGAGGGGGAGTACAGACAGACAGTCAGAAGTAACTCCAACAGGCAGAGGATGGAGACAGAGGGAGTAGGAACTAAGTTGATATTTGTACTGAAGAACAGCAGAGTATGGTACATGCTTTTATACTACTATGGAGGTACAGTAATTGGAATTGGCACTGACATATGGAGACTTGTAAAATTTCAAGCAAAACTTCCTAGATGATGAATGAAGGGTAGATGGAGGACATACAAATGGGTAACATAGAATATCCAGAAAAGGAAACAGTCCAGGCACTGGACCATGTGGTGCATGCACTGTGGAGTACCTGACTGTGAGCTGTCAGGGAGGAGTTTGAAGGTAGTCACATGACCCCTCAGAAAATGGTCTGTTCAGTCCAGTAGGAGAGCAGTACAAGTCCGACAGCAGTCAGAGTGGAGATGGTTTGTAACCAACAGAAGTTGGGTGGAGTTGGTGTGGAGTGAGTGAATGACCAGCAGAAGAGGGTGCGGAGTGAGTAAGGACCTAGAGTGAACACACAGTTATGACAGTGGAAGGCATGGTGATGGGAGGAAAGGACAAAGGTTCAGTATTCTGACATGTGTTTTTTAAGCAGTACTTTGAACTCTGATGAAGCTCTGCTGCAGCTAAAGCCATTATCCTCAAGGCACCAAAATGGTTTCAAATGATCAACTTGTGTTGATCCCATCCCATGCATGTGGCCTTCAGGGGGGGGCACTGTCATAACTGTGCATTCACTCTAGGTCCTTACTCACTCTGCACCCTCTTCCACTGGTCATTCACTCACTCTGCACCAACTCCACCCAACTTCTGTCAGTTACAAACCATCTCTGCTCTGACTGCTGTTGGACTTGTACTGCTCTCCTACTGGACCAAACAGACCATTCTCTGAGGAGTCATGTGACTACCTATGGACTCCTCCCTGACAGCTTGCAGTCAGGTATGTTGCAAATTTTCAAGGCACATAATAATGCCGCTGGCTGACAATGCTTGCATATTTCCTTATTAGGGTCATTAAAATGGTCTGGTAATGACATGTCAACAGCTTGGGGGCAGTGCCAAGGGAAGAAATTTCATTGGACAGGAGTTACCCAAGTTACTGAGTGATAATGATCTGATAATGACTGATATGGCATGACATTGTCTTACATCAGCCAAACCTGGGATCAAAGGATGAACTAGTCCAGCTATGATACATCTTCTCTCATGGCTCCCTCCTGTACCACCTGTTCAGCTTTGACCTGTCAAAATGCTGAACAGAATCATGCCATTCTCCATCAATGCCCTCACTGTAACAGGAAATTTCAGAAAACCAGTTTCAAGCAGCACAAGGTGAGTTGCAGGAAGCACAAAGAAGATCAGAGGGAGCATGTAGCTTTTGAACATCAGTATGAAGAGAAACAACGAGGTACATGAATTGGTGTGTAGCACAGGCAGACCCAATGTAATGGTTTCTGGCTTCAATTATTAACTCAGCTGCCCACCATTGAGCTGTGAGAGCATCGGTACTCAAATCACAGCCTCGAGTGCCCAAAGCTCACTGCACAGATACAGGATATTTTTTCATCAATGAACCTGGTGAGTCTGATTTCCATTTATGTTGTGGTCCTAGTCTCAGACAAACTGCGGCTGCAGTTGAGGTGACTATGGGACAAGATTACAATGAGACGAGCAACATGCTCCAAGCCTCAGGTACATATTCACTTCAGCACATGTTCTCATAGTGCTCATAATTCCCTCAGATGTGTCAATGCCAACTGCCACAAGTTCTAATGTGGCAAAACTTCCTGAATTCAAGATCCAATTTCATCCAAGAAGCAATTGACCACTGATTTATCAGTCTTATGAAGAGTTCCATGTTCACAGTGAGAAGTCCCCATCCCTGGTTGACAAAACACCTTGGTCCCCATTTAGCATGTTGGGTGACTTTGAGTTTGCAGAAATTGCACTCGCTTCACTACTCAACCAGCAACAAGTCAATGCCCTGCTGGATCTCTTTGCTTGTGTCACACAGGGAGCTGTCCAAGTCACACTCAAGAATGATGCTGAACTTCACAAAGCATGTGATGCAGCTGCAATGGAACTCACTCCAGTATGATTTTCAAATATCCATTCATCGCCATCCATCCTACCTATCTAAATAGTTCTCCAGGGTCGAAGTTAAGGTACCATACAAAAAGGAAGAATGTACGTTCAAAGCACATATTCACCCACTGTGGGAGTGGGCACTTGATATCTTAGAAAATCCATTCCTTGGTCTGCACTTCACCTGGGATGCACAGTGACTTTACAGGCACAACAGTGTTGAGCATGAACATTTTTACAACAAGCCCTGGACCAGAGATTATTGGTGGGATATTCAAGTATGTGCCTGGTCAATATGTCATTTGTTACTCATACATAACATGTTGTATTTGTGCTAGTTGAGTCTACCAAATATCAAGAACACCATGCCATTTGGCCTGATCCTTTATGCTGACAAATCCAACCTATCATCTTTTGGCACTGCCAAGAGTTACCCTGTCATTGTGTGCTGTGTGAACTTGCCAGTTGAGATTCAGAATAGCAATGTCATTGGCAGAGGTACTGTTGTCAGCTGGCTGCCTATTGTGAATGATGTCCACTGTTTAGATATTCATATAGGCTAAGAACATTTCAGGTCCCTGAAGATGCCAAAGAAGAGGGAAAGCTAGGCTACACAACCCTCAAGTGTGTCATTTGGCACAAATCTTTTAAAAAGTTACTTCTGGAGATTGAGCAGTGCTCGAAGACTGGGTACATACATACATCTTTGCATGACAACATTACCCATTGGCTCTTTCCAAGTCTTATGATGCTGTCCACCAATTTTGAAAAGATGTAATATACTTCCTTCTTCTTGCTCAGACTAATGATACTAACTCAATGGCCTACTACAGATGCATGATGGTACTCACTCATGGTCACAGTGGCAAACACCCTTGCCCTGTATGTCTTGTACTGTCAGAGCTACTCCATGACCTCTCTAGGACTTTTGAACCTCATATGCATGCCCAGGGCATCGATGCATTATGTGTTTGTGCCATGAATGGAGCCAAAGGTGATGAATTGCTGAAGTGGTTAGGTTTATGACCAATTGAAGTAAGTTTCCACCAACAAATCACCATCAGCAAACTAATATATAATGGGATGCAGAATGTGTTCTGACTGATTGGGTTTTCTGATCTCCACCTTGCCTGCAGCTTTGATTGACTGCATTATGGGCATGGTTTTTGGGGCAAGCATGTCTTTGGGGACCTAAAGGTGATTGGAAAGGTGCTCAGGTGACAGATCAAAGCCAACATTGAGAAGTAGTGAGTCACTGTTTTACAATCAATTGCTCTGAACATTGTCACTTCTCACATTTGACAATGACAGTGTTGCAAGTTTTCCTCACTGGCAAAACCTCGCACACTTCAACCAAGTTATTCATGTCACTTTTTCAGATGGTAACAAGCTGGCTGATATCTCCAAGGTACATGTGTCCAATACCAGATGGCTGTCAATGAACTGTTTCCCTAGCAAATCTTCCACATGGGGATCAATGTTTTGAAGAAGAGTATAACCCCTGAAGGGTACCAGCTCCTCCAAGTCATCTGAAGCTACCTACAGCTTGATAGCCTCATCAGCTTAGATGTCCAGACTGAACATATGGTTAACATGATCAATGATGAAATATTGACATTTGATCAGACACTGAAGGTAGTTATACACTTTGTGCTCATGCCAATTTGTCATAATGTGTCATTTTCAGGACTACACCAAATGCATCATGAAGTCCAACATTGATGGTCTGTGAACTGACTGGAATTTCCCAAAGGTCCACCTCTGGAAGCACATTGTTCAAGATATCTGCCTAAAGGGTGCCACATGCAACTATAGCACTCAGCCCAATGAAAGTATGCATAAGCCAATCCAAGACACATATGAACACTGTTCGAACAGTAGAGACATTCCTGCTCAGGTATGACAACTGTGTGTGCTGATACTCCTACTCACAGTCACTTTAAAATGCATGTTAGGTCTTGTGGGTAGATCATCAAGTTCTTGCTACAAAGCTTCTCAGATTGTGTGTTGATCAGCTTGAGAAATCTGTCTCTGGGGAATCAGATCCAGAAGTTGATGTGGTCAGTGAGCATACCTCAGTTGATCATATTAAGCTTGGTGCACATGTTGTCGCAACCCAAACCCTGAAAGACTTGGAGGAAAATGGTCAGCTAGATATGGTGTTCCATCAGTTCTGTCAAAGGTTCTGCGAGTTCCTTAATGATGCCCTTCTGGCATATGGATATCAAGTCAAGTCATGGATCTCCCTCCCCACTGACTTCACAGTATGTATCTACACTCTCATTATGCATTCATCTAGTTGAAACTGTGCTTGTGCTAAGGTTAAAGAATACCATTATCTGCTGGTCAACTACAAGTCAACTGTCACTTGGAACCAGTGCACAGATCATCTCCGCTGCAACCTGTCATTTTTTGGTGTGCCCTGCTATGACTGTGTGCTTATTCAATACACCAAGACAGAAACTGCCTTTGTTCGTCTCATCTGCATGTTTTCCTGTGTCATTCCAGACATAGGAAACATGGAATTTATCTTGGCACAACCCTTCATGACAAGGATTGGACTGGCCCACACTATTGATCATGATCTCAGACTCAAATTTGTCAAGACAGTTCCATGGGCTGTGTCCATCTTCATACCATTGTGCTCAATCATCCAAGGGGCTGTTCTAGCACCTGACACTGAACATGATGACAAATTTTTTGTTGTTGAGCAACTTGATAGTGATATGTTCCTACAGACACAGGCAATGAAGGTTACTTACTGTCTCTAGTGGCCTTCCAACCAGAGAATTTTGAGCACATTGCAGATGTCTGTTCTGACCCATCACTGTCTTGTCCTTTGCAAGCTGTCAACCATCCTAGCAAGGAAACTGAAGACTTGCAACACACTCAGTAGTAGATCAAAGGTACTTGGGTGACAGATTGAAGCCAGCATCAAGAAATAGTAAGTCATGATTAATACCATTGGCAACCACTCTGGAACAGACCACATCAGACACATGCCCAACTCTTTTCCCCCCTGCTGTGGAGCAAAGTGGTAAGTAGTAGGTGCACTGATGCAGGGGGTCATCGGGGGAATATGGTGAGGTCTGTTTCACTACTTGTTATGCCCACCACATGAAACTCAATCTACTGGATGCTGGACAGCAGGCTGCCAGAGTGGACAACAGTCTTGTTTTTTTTATGCATGACTACAGAGATACACTCTGACCAACAAAGTGTTGAAACTACAGGGCAAAGGGATGTATATAGGTCTACAAGGCTGTTGAAGCCTCAAAGGCAAAGAAACCATGATTCAGCTCTTCTTCCCTTCCCTAGTCCTCCCTCTTCCATTTTCCAAGGACCTTCTCAGACACAACTTGTTCAGCAAGGAAATGGTCCAGTGCATAGATGACAGCTTGTAGGGTGTTGTGGAAAGTCAGAATCGAATGGAAGTCAATGTCCACATCATGCCTAATCATCTCAGTGACAGGAACATTGTTGGCTGGGACATCAGGAGGGGGATAAGCATTGAGGGAGAGTAAAGTGGGGTCTATGGTGGAGGGTGTAGTGACAGCAGCAGGAGTGGCCCATTCAGGGGGCAAACTGTTGGGAGAAAAATTCTAGTGGCAAGTCAATATTAACAGATTAGCACACAAGTGGAATGGAAGACATACCACCAAGCTGAACAAATCGCTGAACATGTCTGTCACTGCCTCAGCAGTCTCAGGCACATCAACAGGCATTGAAGTGCTGTTGGGAATTTTGAACACATTGGGGGACATGGGTGGGGCAGGGAAGGGGCAGATTTGAAGTCACTGAGTGTGGAAGAGGAGATTTTGAGTTGAAGTCACCAAGTGTGGAGGGGGAATCAAAAGTCATGCCTTGCAAGAGACCAACAGTTGACCGTCAGTGAGGGGAATTCATGAATGAGGCACAAGGTGAATTTCATATGATGTGAGAACAGAAGCTACTAATTTAAACAGATACTGGACAAATGGAGACCATGAGGATGCAAGAGCACTGAAGATACTCGAGGTGGATACACTACTGACATGAGTTTACAGGCATATGGTAAGGTGTCAGGAAACAGAATGAGCATTGGTGACACTTCACACCTGTGGATACAACAGATGTGTTGCTGGCCAGTCAAGGTTGCAATGGAACACATTCGAGTCAGACAAGTATTGGGAAGTTGAGCATACCCTTTCACCTTTGTATCCAATTCATCATGCACTTACCCACTGACTTTTTTCCTTGGTGATGTCAGATCTTTGTACAGAATGCAGTATCTGGTCTCATTTTTTTTCATGTTCACATGCATGTATACAAAACTCACAATACATGTTGTGAGCAAGACAAAGTCTGTGTACTCGACCAGTCCCTCTTTGCAACTTTCCATCCTGCCCATGGTTCGACCCACTATACATGCTTTTTCACACTCCATCCCCATTCCATCATGTCAAGTAGCATGGTGTGGGTGTCTGCAAAGGTAGCACAAGCCATTGCTGCTGTATCTCCCACTGTCACACACCAAAGGTGTTTGGTGAGGTGGACATGGATACAGCTGATGAATGGAGATGAAGACCATAGCCCTCATGCGAAGAAGGACAGCCAGAAATGTCAGAAGTCATCCCTCACACAAGAACAAGTCATCAGTGCCAGAGAAAAAGAAAGGGAGCAAGTTAAGTGCTGGCTAAAATTCTTAAGTGCCTGTGTATGGCATTCCAGTTTTTGACATATCTCTGCCATTTCTGCAGATACCAAGACCACTCCCACACTTGCTTGTAGTGCTCAGCCATGCAATCCTACCTTCCAAAAGTGGAAAGGATTTGTGCACTCCACACGTTTCTACAGCACTCCCTCCAAAAGACACTCATTTCACTAAATTCTTCTGATATGGCCACCTCTACATCAGTCATTTTGCTTGTCCCCTTTGCTAGGGACCATGGCTACATATATCTACCAGGAGTTCCTACCAGCTGCCATCCTGAAGCATCCTGGTACATCTCACCCTCATCTGCACCCTCTCAGCCCATCCAGCTTGGACAGTGTGTTCTTTTTGTCAGTATGACCTCTAGGAGGACGTTCTTTGGTTGCCTCAGGTCTGTCATTTGCTTGGAAAGGTCTTATGTGGTCATTTCAGTCTCTCTGGTCCAAGAAGCATATGGATCCTTCCTCCCTGCTCCCTGCAATGTCTTCATACCAGTCTTGTCCATCATTCTTCCAAGATTGTGACAGCTACAGTATAATCTACTGTTCTCCACTCTCCCTGATTGCATCCATGACAAGTATGATGCACATCTTGCCTCATTGTTGCAAGATACAGCAGAAGACACTCCCCCTTCATCCTCTCTTCCAACAGAGCCTCATTCATGAGGTTTTTATTTGCTTCCCTGAGAGGATGGTTTGGGGGGGAAAGTTGCAATCCCCTATGCTCCTGTCACCCCACAGACCCCCAAAGCTTGACCCCTGTTGACATCTGACTCACCCCATCCACTTTTGGATGTACTATATCAGCATCAGATCAGCACTGCCTCTCTGTCATCCCACCTTGGCCTAGAAGCAATCTCCTTGAGATGTGACATGCACAGCCTCCCCCTAATGTGATTCCAGTGCACTTTCCCAGTTCCTGACATTACTTGACTCATACTTTGACATTCTGACTGTCTTTGACCCACCTGTTGCCAATACTTACCAATCTTTTGACCTTGCTTACTGATTCTTTGCTTTTTGGCTTGCTAATCCTTACCAATGCTTACCAATGCTTTCCAAGATGATTACCCATCACTTACATTCCTTACTCATCAGTTACCAATCACTTACCAAGTGTTTGCACCTTGTTTTCCAAGGGCAACACCCCTGTACTGCATATAAATCACTGTACTTAGATAGCGAAAAAAGAGGACATCAGAGAGCCCCTCTTGCTCGCATTTTATCATCACTCAGTAATTCAATTAGCAGCTTCGATAGTTGAGACTTTATTAAGGGTCTAACTATTGTCTACTTTGCTTATCCTTGTCTATCATCAATATACTTTGCTCCAAGCCCTCCCTGAGCTCAGTGCAGCTCAGAGCATCAAATTAAGTCGTCATCCATCCTTCTGTAGGCTGACAGCAGTCTACCCTATCACATTCTCTTGCATTCCTGCTTCTTCTTCATCAGGAGCACCCCCAACCCTCAGCACTCATCTTTGAGTGTTGTAGCTTGCAAAAACCCACCCAAATCAAAGGTTCTACCATCTATGTACTGCATAGGCACATCACCACTTGCTCTTTTTGTCTTTTGTGTTGGTTTTAGTTGGTTTTCACCACTGAACCACACTTTGACTCACAACACTCCACTTACAGTTGAAACTGACACCTCTGACTATGCCATTGCTGGCATTTTGTTGCTCACCTGCTCTGACAGTGAACTCTGCCCAGTTGCTTTCTACTCCTGCACCATGACTGCACCAGAACTCAACTATGATACCCATGACAAAGAGCTGTTGACTATCTTCAAGGCCTTCTGCCATTGGCAGCATTACCTAGAAGGTTCCACCTTACCTGTCAATGTGGTGACAGACCACAACAACCTTGAGTACTTTTCCACCTCTAAGGTTCTCACTCATCAGCAGGCCTGTTGGTCAGAATACCTTTCACAGTTTAACCTTTCCATCTGCTTCCAACCTGGCTGCCTAGGAGCCAAACCTGATGCACTTATGTGATGTTGGGACATCTACCCAAAAGGGGGGGATAGGGACTACACACAGGTAATTCCTCACAATCTCTGCCCTATGTTTACACAGGAGCAACTTGCATTGTCCCTCTGTACCACTACCCTCATGGCACCTGTGCTCCATGCCACCATGGTCTTCAATGTTGTGTGCTTGCACTCTGACATCATCTCTGCCTTACCATCTGGCCCCGTCTCTGCCAGCCATCTCCCAACTCCAAGCAAGCCTTGGTGGTCCCTGGACTCTGATGGTCTACTCCACCTTGATGGTCACATCTTTGTCCCTGACATTGATGGTCTCCACCTCCAAGTGCTTTGGTTCAAGCATGACCACCCTCTATCAGGCCATTTCAGGCAAAACTGCACCCTAGAACTTGTCCACAGAGACTATGTGTGGCCTAATTTACACTCTGACATGAAAGAATATGTCAGGTTCCTGCACTGCCTCTGGATGGAAGCAAAACTCTGTGTCACCACCCCTATGGTCTACTGAAGCAACTCCCCATCCCAGAGAGACCTTGGAACTCCATCTCCATGGACTTCATTGAAGCACCTCCCCAACTCCAATGGTTACTCTGCCATCCTTATGGTAGTGGACCACCTCTCAAAGCAAGTGGTGTTCATCCCCACCCATGACTCCATCACCTCTGCTGAACCTGCTAAGCTCTTCCTTACCCATGTCTTCTCCAAGCATGGGGTACCTGCTAATGTCACCTCTGACAGAGGTCCTGAGTTTGTCTCACACTTCCTCCACTATCTAGGAAAGGCCCTTGATATGCATCTTCACTTCACATTTGGGTTACCACCCAGAAGGCAATGGCCAGACTGAGTGAACAAACCAGACCCTTGAGTGGTACCTTCATGTCTACTGTAACTACCAACAAGACAACTGGGCTGAGCTTTTACCTCTAGTGGAGTTCACTTTTAACAATGCACCAAGTGTGACAACTGGAGTCTCTCCCTTCTTCACTAACAAGGGATACCATCCAAACCTGTCTGTGGTCCCTGACCAGGACTTCACCTCTCCATGGGCTCATGACTATGTTGTTGAGCTGCCCTTCATGACTTCCTCCACTCTGAAATGTCCACCACTCAGCAGCACTACCAGGGTCCAGCAGATGTCAAACACATATCTCTGCCTGAGTTCAAGGTTGGAGAACAGGCCTATGTCAAAGTGAAGTACTTCTGCTCCACTTGTCC